TCGTGAGCGATGGAGGAGGAAATACGGTGTGCCGTGTGTGCGAATATCTTCACAGAGCCCGTGCTTTTGCCGTGCTTACACGCTTTGTGTCTGAAATGTGCATGTAGTCTTCAGCGAAGTGTCCAAGCCCTTCTTGCTGAGCCCGTAGGAGGCCAGCAGGCCGGGCCGCCTGGCCACGACCCCGATCCGCCTGACGGAGGCGCTGACAGTGACAAAGCCTCGGTGTACAGTGAGACCGATAGCGGTGTGGTTGTGGCATCCCGACCGACGTCCTACGTGAGTAGTCCGGAAACCACCGTCAACAATGAGGGCGGAGAGGGCCAGCCTGCCGCAGGACAACAGCAGGGCGTGCGGTGCCCTGTGTGCCACAAAGTGTCCGCGTTGGGCCCAGGGGCGGCCGCCGACCTGCCCCGTTACACTGCCATGTCTCGCATCATAGCCCGCCAGCGAGGAGACCCTTCCCTCGGAGAGGCGTCCACCAGCACCTCCGCGCCTACAGGAACCCCCGCGACTTTGCCGCCCTGCCAGCTCTGCGAAGGGCCTCCGCGCGCGGCCACCACGGAGTGCCAGCAGTGCCAGGTGCTGTACTGTGGCCCTTGCCTGACCTCTTGCCACCCTCCCCGGGGGCCCCTCGCCACACACACCCTGGGCTCCGTCGCGCCCCTAGGAGGATCTATCCCGGGGGCAGGGGAAGTCTGTGCCGCCCATGGAGAGCGGCCCTCCCTCTACTGCTTAGTCTGTCGGTGGTCAGGCTGCAGGGAGTGCGGCCCGGGCCACTCGCAACACGATCTTCAGCCACTGGACAATCTTGCTAAAACACACAAGGTAAGTGTCGCCACCTTAAATATTCGCAAAAGTCCAGCATTCGCTGCCTTTCATCACAAGGACGTGCATTGCGCTCATAGGGCCAAGTCTCCACCTAATAACAATTTCATCAGGTTCCATGACTAAATCTGTTGATGCTGAACACAGCAGTGCACGCAAGTGATGTGTTTATTCTGTGATTCATGCCAACAGTGAGTTTCCTAATGATATATGTTGCTCACGGCTCGCACAGTAATAAACGCACGAAGATAGTTATAATATATTGCACAACTTGTGTATCTCGTCACACAGTTATGGAAACAAATATTTGATTTCCATCAAACAAATTTTCGGTAACCATCAGATATGTTACTGAACATTTTTGCAACGTGCCAATCACATTATCATAACAGTCAGTGCATATATTGGCACTTAGCTTTACAATCTCTTTTTTTTTTTACATTTTTTTTTTGTTTGTTTGTAGTAGTTAATGTTTGTGATGGAGATATAAAATGATCTAGCAATTCTAATTGCAACACCAGCTATGATTATGAAAGCAATTATTGTTAATGCTTGAGTATTAATGTTAATACTAATGATAATTGTTATTAAAATGAAACATCTTGGAAAAATATTTCTTGAACTCCACACACTTTCGCATTTGGAAAAGCAGCTTAGCCCTTAATCCACGCCTTCGCTCCCTCCCTCCGAAATAGATCGCAGGGTCCAGCACAGAACCCTGTTTACCCTTGTTGTTGCAGCCCCTAGAAACTCACTCCCAAAACATGCCCACTCACCCTGCACAAACACCTATATTTTCACAAACACAGGCGATCCGTTTTTTTCCCCGTTTACAGTTACTTTTTTTTTTTGGTCTTTTTTTTCTCTTTCTCTTTTCTTTCGGTGTCTAGTCGGGTTTGATGCATCGGCGGCTGTCTGTTGCACGTGGAGATTGTTGAGATGACAAGGAATCTCATGTCGTAATTTCCATTCCTGTCGGTCTTGGCTATCTGTATCGTCGAAAGATTTTGTTTTCTTGTTTTGCGTTTTCCTTTTCTTGTTTATTTGCTTACTTGTCCGTTTCATATACTTCTTAGGATGTTCTTACAACGTATCTGTTTCATATTTTACTTGTTTGTTTGTTTGGATTTATATTTACTTACCGTTTCTATATAGATATATTTGCTTGACATTGCATAAAGCGTATATTTATATAAATGATTACTTTAGTCTTTGACAGATCTCTCGTCTTAACAACCACGTAATATAGCCAAAAGAGGATAAAAAACGTTAATCACCATATCCCTAACAACCACAACACACCAATCCCTTGTTATGATAATACGTCGACTTTTCAAACTATGAAACCACCACAATTATAACTTCAAACTGTCGACAACTACAACTGCAATGCACCATTAACCGCAACCGTAGCGTATGATTCAGAATAGCATCAACATTGCCACATAGTCCATTTACACTAAACACTGTATCCACATATTACGACCACCTTCCAGCACAAACTACGACCATCTCGCTCCACATATTAAGACCACCTCGTACCATATATTACGACCACCTCGCCCCACATTACGACGACTACCTCGCACCACATATTACGACCACCTCGCACTTTATACCTCGACCATCTCGCACTATACATCATGATCACCTCACACCACACACTACGGCCACCTTGCACCACATAACACGACCACCTTGGACCACATACGACCACCATCAACCCCTTCATGGTGCGCCCCTCAAAGCCCCGCCCTTATTACCCATGCGGTGCCACCCACGTCCTCCGGGAGAGAATCCTTCCTCGGTATCGTCTTCTCCCTGTCGCGGAGAGAAGAGGATTCTGATTAATGTCGAGATATTAATAAAAAACCCATGGCCTTCCCTGTGCCGCCGAAAAGGGAGGTTTCCACGCCGCCTCCCGGGGTCAGATAACACGCAGAGGGGAGGGAGGGAAGTGAGAGAGGAACGCGGAGACGCACGAGGGGAGGTAGGGAAGAGGGGAGGAACGGCGGAGGAAAGGGAGGGACGAAGGGGAAAAGAGAGGAATCTGATGATGTCCGAAGGGGGGAAGTGTAGTGTTAATGGGAGAAACGGAGTAGGGGGGGAAAGGGAAGGGGAATAGGGGAATGGAGAGGGAAGGCGATGATGGTGAAGTGATAGAGGAAGGATAGTTAGATAGTGAAGGAGAGGTGGGGGGGGGGTTGAGAGTGTGTGTGTGTGACGAAGAGTGTGTTTGACAAGAGGGCCGCGGGGACGTGTACGAAGGGTGCGTATAGAAGCGGCCGGGGGGAAGAAAGTGCGACGGGGGAGAGGACGAAGATTGTGTTTACGTGAAAGGGAGAGCCGAGGTAGGTCGAGATAGGGAAGGAGTGTTAACGAGGTAATAAGGGCATGTGTATGAAAGGAGGGAAAAATGATATGCAGACGAGGGGAATGAAGAAGTAATAGTGAAAGAATTCAGCGCATGTTAATGAGGGGAAGAGTGAGTTTTATTGAAGGAGAATGTCTTGGCCGGAGAAATGAGGATCTTGAAGACAATTAAAAGATGAGGAGAATGTAAGGGAATCGAGAATGTGTTGGGGGCGAACGAGGAAGTATTGTGGTGCGGAGAGAAGGAGACGCGATAACACAAAGAACCGGGTTGAGGGTAAAGAGATAAAAGGGAGTGACAAAGGGATAGATGAGGAAATGGAGAGGGAGGTTGAGGAAAGGAGGTCGAGGAGGAGGTGGAGGAGAGGGAAGGAGGGAGAGGTGCGTGATGGGAGAGGAAGGGAGGAGAGGGAAGGTGGAAGGAGAGGGAAAGGGAAGGAGAGGGAAAGGTGCGTGATGGGAAAGGAAGGGAAGAGAGGGAAGGAGGGAGGAGAGGGAAAGAAGGAGGAGAGAGAAGAAGGGAGGAGAGGGAAAGGGGAGGAGCGGGAAGGAGGGAGGAGAGGGAAGGAGGGAGAGGTGCGTGATGGGGAAGGAGGGAGGAGAGGGAAGGAGGGAGAGGTGCGTGGTGGTTTAAAGGTTAAAGGAGGGAGCGAGGGAAGGAGGGAAGGGAGACTATGAGGGGTGGGGATAGGGGTGGAAAGGGAGGAGGGAAAAAGAAAGAGAGGGAGGAGGTAGGGGGAGGAGAGGGTGGGGATAGGTGGGGGGGGGGTGAAAGGAGGAAATAGAGGATGGAGATTAGGGGAAAGAGGGGAAGAAAAAGGAGGAGGGTAAGGATTAGGGAAACAGGAGGGAGAGAAGGAGGGGAGAAAGGGGGAAGAGAAAGAGGAAGAAGCGCGGAAGTAAGGGAAAGGGAAGGGAAGGGGGGGATGAGAGAAAAAAAAAGGGAAAAGAGAAAGAAGAAGAACAAGAAGAGGATAAACGAAAAGAAAAGAAAAAGAAAAAAAATAGGGTTATAAGGGAAAAAAAAAAGTACGAGACAAAAGAGGGGAAGAAAAGGGGGAAGGGAAGGGGATGAAGAAAATGAATTAGGGTGAGGGAGAAAAGGAGGAATGGAAGACTGAATAAGAAGTTGAACGTTTTACTTAAAGCGAAGAGCGGAGAGCTTTTAAGAGAACATAACTTTTTTTTTCCCTTTTCTTTTTTTTTTTTTGAAAGTCCTAGGAAGTGAATACTAATGAAAAGTAATCAAAGGAGACACGGATAAAAGGGATAGAGAGGATTCAGAAGATTAATATGATAATGGCAATCATATAATGGTAAAGCGAATAACAATAATAACGGGGATGATCAGTATTGACAATGATAAATGGAATTAATTAATCACACGAAGAGAGAGATTATTGCGCTTTTTGTAAAAGGACGAAATATTATTCAAGATACATACTCGGAGGTCTGAAGATTTATGGCAAATGGAATGTTTCATGGAACTAATTCACTCAAGGATCTTTGTGAAGGTATTAGTCATTGGTTATATATATATGCGTGTATGTGTTTGTGTGTGTGTGTGTTTGTGTGTGCGTGCGTAGTCATACACTATACACGCATAAACATAAAGGGAAGATACATATACATGTGGTTCTGTGTGTGTGTGTGTGTGTGTGTGTGTGTGTGTGTGTGTGTGTGTGCGTGTGTGTACGTGTGCGTGTGTGCGTAGTCATACACTATACACGCATAAACATAAAGGGAAGATACATATACATGTGGTTCTGTGTGTGTGTGTGTGTGTGTGTGTGTGTGCGCGCGTGTGTGCGTGCGTGTGCTTCTGTGTGGTCGTGTGTCTGGGCCTGTGTGCACATCTTTATTCTCTCATAGTAAGAGCTCCTTTTTTTTGCAAGTATATAACGAGACGAGGATATTAGACATTCGATTAAGGAAAGATAATAAAGCATGGTTGAAAGAGAGTCATAAGGCGGGAGATGATGAAGATTCCAAACAAAGCGGTGAAGGTGAGAGAGAGAGGCTGGCACATTCACCTCATTTTCTTCCTCACTTGCTTTCGTTTTTTTTTTTTTTTTTTTTTTTTTTTCCTCCGTCTTTTTTGTGTTCTTTATTTGTATACTTCTTTGTTTCTTTCTGTCTCTCTCTCCCAGTGTTCTTATTCTTTTTTTGTCTACTTCTTTCTCGCTCTCCTTTTTCCTCTTCTTTTTTTTTGTCTACTTTCTTTCTTCCTTTCTTTTCTCTCCTTCTTTCCCCTTTTCGCTTTCTTTCTCTCTCTTGTCCTTGCTCTCGGTCGCTCTCTCTCGTTCATCTTCTCTCCCTTCTATCCTTCCCTCCCTTCCTCAATCCTTCCCTCCCTCCCTCCTTCTCTTCTTCCCTCCCTCCCTCCCTCTTTCCCTTATTCCTATACTCCCCCTCCCCCTCCCTCCTTCTCCCTCGCTCTCTTCTTCCCTCCCCTGCCTCCCTCTTTCCCTTCTTTCTATACTCCCTCCTTCCCTCCCCCTCCCCTCCCTCCCTCCCTCCCTCCCCCACCCTCCCTCCCTCCCTCCCTCCCTCCCTCCCTCCCTCCCTCTTTCTCCCTCCCTCTCTCCTTTCCCCCTCCCCCTTGCCTCACTTTCGCTATCTCACCTTCCTCCTCCTCCTCCTCCTCCCTCGTCTCTCATTCCCTCCCTCCCCCACCCACCCTCCCTCCCTCCCTCCCTCCCTCCCTCCCTCCCTCCCTCCCTCCCTCCCTCCCTCCCTCTTACTCCCTCCCT